CAGACTGTGGAGCTCCTACCAGCCTCCAGGGTGTACTGGCGAGTGATCCAGGAGACGACAGTTCCCCTGAGTCAGCTGTAGGGTCCCAAAAGGGAAGGTCCCGTTCCCTGGAGGTGCCTCCGGCTGGTGGCTATATTGTCTCTCAGCAGCCGGGGGTAGGGTCGGCGGAGGGGAGAAGGAGGCAATATGGCGCCTGCCACGTGGCTCGGGTCTGTGCACACGGAGGTGCCCTGAGGGAGTTGGGAGACTGGTGCCGCGTCCACTACAGGCTCACCACTCCCTGGCGGCGGCCATCTCTGGGCTGGTGTCCGCAGGTCTTTCCACCCACTGGGGAGCCCACCAGCAGTCCCAGATTCAGGGGAGGGGAAACGGCATATTCACCTACCCTTCCCGCTGGTCTCCGGGCTGCTCCGGCGGTCTCAGCTTCCAGTTCTCCTCCGTGTCCTACTCCCGTGGAGTCTCCTGGGGGCTCAGCTACCCCTCCTTCCAGCCCTGGTCCCCTGTATGCTCGTCTTCTTGCTTTTTTGTTTCTAATTTCTGCTAGAATCTGTCTTTTCTGCAGAGACACTTTGTCTGGCGGTGTTTCTTGTCCACCATCTTGATCTTCCCCCCCCCCCAAGTATCTTAATTACCATAACTTTATAACAAGTCTTACTCTCTGGTAGGGCAAGTCTTCCGCTTTGCTCTTATCTTCAAATGTACTCAGACAACTCTGTGAATATATTATCTATTTTAAAAATGAAAAAATAAAATGTAAATTATTTTTAAAAATTCATAGGTACATATACATATTCCCTAATAGTAGAGCTAACATACTCTTTTGAGCCTGAACTAGATTAAGGGGAAAATAAATAAAGATAAAATTGTTTAAATAATAGATGTGTTTCCCTGCTTTTAGTTTTGAGAAGTGTGATTTCCATTATTGCATTTTTTTAAAGAATCGTTAAGAATAACAAAATATTGAATGTTTTTGTTTTTAAAATACTGATTTTTAAAATATAGAAAATTCTGACTCTAATGATTATTTTAATATTTTATATGTTTTTCCTTTCGAGTCTTGAGACATCATCAAAAGCATTGTCTTTCCAAGATGGTTTCGCAGCCATCTCTTTATCTTTGTTGTATAAACGTTCAGGTGCCCAACAGACATTTTGCTGCTGCTACGAAGTAAGTATTTTTTGTTGTTATTATTTCATTTGCTACCATTGAAAATTTTGGTTAAAAAGCATGCTTAGTTCCATAACACTTACAGGGACATGCAGTTGTAAAAGTTTATCGTCTCTGCCGCTTTGACCTTATAGTCCTGAAGGACCTTATAGTCCTGAAAGATAAGACATTATAATAACATTTATTGAACACTGACATTCAATAACTGACTTAATCCCTATAGCAACCTTATGAGGAAAGTATTGGTGTTATGCTCATTTTATAGAGAGGAAAATCATGGCACTAATAGGTTATATAACTAGCCCAAAGTCAGAGAGCTAGTAAGTGTTAGAATCCAAGGAATTTAGTTCCAGAGCTAAGCTTTTTCCTGTATGGTATCACTGCCTTTTTAGGACAGAATCTACTGTTACAATTAATGAATTTTAATTAAGGTGTACTATGTGTGTTTGAGTGTGTTTATGTGGTTCTTTTTGCTCTTTAAATTACATTTTTTCCTCTTAGGCACTTTTTATAGATCAGGTGTTCTAGGATTACCTGTACTATGATTACATAGTAGAATTTCAGATTTGTATAACATATATTAGAATTTAAATTTATATTGTGTAATGTAGAGTTTGAACATGTGAAAACCTAAAGGAATGAAATTTGTTCTTCTAACTGCTGATTACCAGGAGCAGAAACTGGTTTCTTATTGGAATAAGCACCTGATGCTTTTCTCCCTTGGTGCTGCCGCCATCTTGTTGAACTGCAGTCTGATAGCCCAGCTTAAGTACGGCACTGAAAGGCAGATACTGGCTGAACTCTCAAGCTCCGATCCTGTAGCATCTGGTTGCAGGGCACAGCACTGATTGTTGTTTTCCCCAGGTGGCTCTGATGTTAATGAAGTATAGAAGCAGAGGGATGGTAGTTTACATCATCCTTTTCCTGAATGCCTTTTTCCTTAATGTCACCTTTTTTGAAACTGAAGAAGTGGCTCCGAGGGAGTTATAAGATGCTAAAAAGTTGTGGAATAATAATAGTTAAAATGTACAGAATGCTTTTTTTGCGCTAGACACTATATTAAGCACACTACATGTATTAGTTCATTTAAGCTTCCTATAATGGCTCTATAGAGCACAGATACTATTATAAGTGTTTTACAGGTAAAGGAATGGAGGCCCAGATATTAAGTAATATGTCCAAGGTTACATAGCTAGAATGTGTTGGAGGGTTGGTTCTGAAAAGCACATACAATTCAATTTACAAAAATCTTACTTCATGACCATATTTGCTAGAATATAGTCCTTAGGTTATGGGATGCCCAAAATGAAAGCTAAAGTGTGCAATGTTTTGGGTGAATTTGTAAATTCTCAGTTGTTTAATGTGTTCTTGTTTCTGTGAACCTAACTGAATATCAGGCAGCTGTGCCACAGTAGTCCCTTTTATTTATTAATAGCACACTTCGTTGGGCACCTACCATATGCCAGGCACTGTGCAAGGTGCTGGTGATGTGAAGATAAGCACATGTTCCCTCCCTCTTCCCTTGAGGGTTTCATAGTGAGCTGACAGCAACATAAATAATTGCTTTTTGTTCTTAAATTAATTAACATGAATTAGTTAACCCTGTGAATAAATAAAAGATAGTCATGGTAAACAATTTAAAAAGCATAAAAGTAGGTCGTCTTCCCACCCTTGTCCTTTAGCCACTCAGTTGCTGTGGTTTATGCATATGTAAGTACACGACTGTATTATTTTTTGCATAAGTGGTAGTATACTATACACCATGTTCTGCATCTTGTTTTCTTTTAAGTTAACAATATATATCTTGGAAATTTTTTCAAATGATGCTATTTAGTCATTTTAACTGTGTTTGTTTGTGTGAATGTACCATAATTTATGTAACTATTTCCCTCTTGATGCACATTTATCTTTTCAGTCTTTTGCTATTACAGATGATCCTGCAGTGAACAAACAAGCATATAGATCTTATCAAATATGATGAATATATTTGTAATATAAACTCCAACAAATAGAATTTTTAGGCCAAAATATTTGTGGATTTACAATTTTGATACATAGTGCCATCATAGATATATTGCCAATTTATATTCTTACCAGCAAGCATTATAGGAATATCACTTTCCCATGTATGATATAGTCAAATTTTTTTGATCTTTGCCAATTTAACAGGTAATAAATGGTATTGTTATCATTTTAATTTATATTTTATTATTATTGAGGTTGTGTACCTCTCCATATGTTTAAGAGACATTTATGTTTCTACTGTGAATTTTCTGTTTATGTTCTATTTCCATTTTTTGTTGTTGATGAGTAGGAGCTCTTTGTAAATTAGCACATGTCTATGATATAACTTTACTGTTTTGACTGTCATATTAGAAGAAAGGACCAAGTGCTGTGGGATCACAGATGAAAGTTCAGTTAATTCTACTGGGGGAAGAGTAGAACAAGAAGCATTTGAGCAGGGTCTTGAAAGATAGAATTTTGCAGGGGAATTGGGTGACGTATTTCAAAGTGGTGCAGGGGCATGGAGGCAAATGACATGGGTATAAATACAGTATGACATGGTTTGAATATAGGAAGAATAGGGATGTGGCAGAAATGTAACAAGAAAGGAGGCTTCCTCTGAGTGTGAATAGTGCCCAAATTGTTTTTTGGTGTTGAGAAGTTGGAGGAGTACTGCTTGTACCAATTCATATCCCCACCCAGGAGTGAGTGAAGAGTGTCCAGTTTTACACATTCCTAACAACCCTGGATATCATCAATCTTTATTTGTGTTTCTTCACTGTATTTCTGATTTACGTCTTTTGCCTGTTTTTCTGTTAGGCTGTTTAATCATTTTTTTTCTGTTTTGTGAAAGTATTTGTTTATTAGGGATATTAATTATTTTGAGACCATTTGATCTTTAAATTTTTCATTTATTCTCTAGGAATTTTTCATTTTATATTTTCCCAAAATTCTACTCCAGTATAATTTACAAGTACTTTTTGCTAACCCAAAAAGCCTAGTACAAGAAATAGGCATACTTTAAAAACACTATTTATAAGCAGATGACTTTTTTCATGTCTGACAATGAGTTGGCTTGATGAGAATCATAGTATTCATAGTTTTACTTATACCTTTATTTATTTATTTATTTATTTATTTATTTATTTTTTTGAGACAGAATCTCACTTGTTGCCCAGGCTAGAGTGAGTGCCGTGGCGTCAGCCTAGCTCACAGCAACCTCAAACTCCTGGGCTCAAGCAATCCTGCTGCCTCAGCCTCCCGAGTAGCTGGGACTACAGGCATGAGCCACCATGCCCGGCTAATTTTATATATATATTAGTTGGCCAATTAATTTCTTTCTATTTATAGTAGAGATGGGGTCTCGCTCTTGCTCAGGCTGTTTTCGAACTCCTGACCTCGAGCAATCCGCCCGCCTCAGCCTCCCAGAGTGCTAGGATTACAGGCATGAGCCACCGCGCCCGGCTTTATACCTTTATTTTTTAATGTGCTGACTATAATATACTAAAAAATAGTTTTCTTCATGGATAGTTTTTTAAAAATCAGGATCTGAGATGGGACAGAGGGGCATGTGTTGGCTTCTCTCTTTTCTTCATCATTCTGGGTCTCTCAACTCCCCTGTGTCTGTGCAGCATGTCCTCTGTTTGCTAGTAGCAGATCCTGGTTGAAAAAAAAAAAAGATCAGTGGGTTATCTGAGTCTGTTTCTGTCTTGACAGTGGGTTCTTTTTTTCTTGCTTCTTAGTGTATCTCAGAATTTTTTTATTGAATACCAGACATCTTGCGTACAACAGAAGAGACTGAAGTAAATAGTATTTATGCCTGCAAACAGGCATGCCTCTTCATCTGTCAGAGTGTTGAGTCAGTTTAGTCAGGGGTTGAGCTAGGATTTGTTTTGTTGTTGCCATGGTTACCACCAGCTTCAAATTTTTATACAGTTATCTTGTGCTTAGGATGGGGGCTGGGTTGCTGGAGGGTTTTTCTCAGTGTTCCTGCTCCCTGCTCAGTTTTCTGCCTTCCCTGTGCAGCTGTGCTGCAGAGGGGAGTTACCCTCTCTGCTCTTGCCCCCTCCCCTAGCAGTAGACTGCTGTTGCTTATTCCTTAGTGCTTGCTGAGCTGGGGATGGGTGGTAGGAGGGGTTCTCTTGTCTAGATCTAGCCTTGGTCTTAAGCAGGCTCAGTGTGACTGGAGCTTGGGGATGGAGCATTTCTGCTCCTTTTCTCCCACGGTACTGTGTATCTGTTGCAGGTCTTGTGGGGAAGTATCCTGGCCCTTCCCTAGCTGGATTGGTATAGGATACTGGGGTCAGGACTGTTTCTTGCCATGTTTCCAGGGGTAGAAGTTTTTGTGGAGATTTTTTTTTTCTTCTTTTTTTTCTCCAGATGCACTGGGCGTTTACCTGTGCCTTTTCTCCATGCCTGCACCCTCTAGGGAAGCTTTCTAGTCTGCTGCCCTGCTCCAGTCTTTCTTGGGAGCATCTGATAGGAGGTGCATGGAAAAGAGCCTGTGAATTGAGTGTGAATGCCCAGTGTGTCTGGATCTCCCGGGGTTTATACTGTCACATCTGCCCTAAGATTTTAGCTGATTGTTTCTTACTTGCTTGCCTTTCTCTCATGTTCTGCCACAGGGGAAACCAGTGGGGGTTGGGGTAGGGACTGACTCTCCTTGAATTTCAGGCTACTTGGTTTATCCAGCTCTTCCTCATTATTAGTGGTCATTCCAGCTTTTACATTTTAAGTGGAAGCAGAACTTGTGCATTTAGTTTAAAAGGCAATGAATAAACCAGCATCAGAGACTTGTACACCGTTAAAAATGAACATCGTCATTATCTGCTATTCTGTTGAATTGCTCATTAGCTGGGAGGATACTATTACTAGTGGTAGTAATAGGATTTATTGAGTGCTAAAAGTGAGAGTGGAATTATATATTGGATCGGTGTTTGAGGTCTTTTTAAAGAAATTTGTTCTAATGTCATTCATTTCTTTCACATAAATTGTATGGGACCCCATATTTGTTTTCTATTGCTGCCATAACAAATTACCACAAACTTTGAAGCTTAAAACAACACAAATTTTTTATGTTATAGTCCTGTAGGTCAGAAATCTGATGTGGTTCTCCCTGGGCTAAAATCAAGGTGTTGGCAGTTCTATTCTGGAGACTGTAGGGGATAATCTGTTTCTTTTCCATTCCCAGTTTCAAGAGGCCACCTGTGTACCTTGGCTTGTGGCTCCCCTCCTCCATCTTCAAAACAACTGCAGGTTGCTTGAATTTCTCCAGTGTGATCTTTTCATCTCTGTCTGCTGCAGCTGGGGAAGGGGAATGGCTCTCAATTTTAAGGATTTATGTGATTAGATTGGGCCCACATAGATAATCTAGGGATAATCTCTCCATCCTGAGGTCTTTAACCTTAATCACATCTGTGAAAGTCCTTTTTGCCATGTAAAGTAATATATACACAGGCTCTGTGGATTAGGGTATGGATATCTTTGGGGGCCATTATTCTACTTACCATAGAACTCAAACATCTTTCCAGAATACTATTTTACTAATTTAAAACTTGTGTGGTTTTAAGACTACAGGTATGATTTGAATTAATGCTGAGAAGATTATATAACTTACAGTTCTTTTTTTCTTAGCTTCAAATTTTTACCTGCAATTACCTGTTGAAGGTATTTTCTTAGATATTTTGTAAACGCCTTTTTAGCTTTTGCTGTAACAAACCACTTCACCATTATTTATCATTGCTTGCACATCTGTGGGTCACTGACTGAGTCTGGGTTCAGATGGATGTCTCTGAGGATCTTGGCTGGACTTACTAGGTAGGTATCTGTTTAGAGGTCAGATGAGAATTGTCTAATGTATAGTAGCCTGGGGCTCTGTGGAGGCAGCTCTGTTCCACGTGTCTCTTATCCTCCTTCCTACCTTTGGGTTAGCCTAGGCGTGTTCTTCTAATGAAAATGTCAGAAATACAAACACAGAAGTGGAAACAGTGAAACTTTTTATGGCCAAAGCTTAGAGTCGGGAAACTATCACTTCTGCTTTATTCTGTCAGCCAAAACTACTCACTTGGCCAAATCAAGGGGCTGCGAAGTATGAAGTAAAGTAAAATTTTAAGGCTCACCCTTCTACCTACTGACTAAATGGACCCCCTCTTGGCCAAGGGAATATCCTAAAACTAAATTGTCTACCAGGAGGAAGGCGGTCAAAACGCGCCTTATCATGTCCCTGTTCCTTCTTAGGAACATCCTTTGTAACCCATTAACAGGCCTAAGAGTATGCAAGACAAACCTGCAGGTCCTCAATTTACACAACAAATCTATGTCTGGTGACTTATCTATGGTAACAGCTCCTTATGTTGAAACATTCCAAGCCTTTAGACAAAGCTTCATGTCTTTAACCAATTACAAGCCAAAGAATCTTTAAACCCACCTATAACCTGTAAGCCCCTGCTTTGAGATGGCTCACCTTTTCGGGCCAAACCAATGTATGCCTCCCACGTATTGATTTATGACTTTACCTGTAACCCTTGTCTCCCTGAAATGTATGAGACCAAACTGTAACCCAGTCACATGGAGTCTACTTGCTCAAGGCTTCTTGGGAGTGGCTCCAGGTCATGGTCTTCAATTTTGGCTCAGAATAAACTTCTTTCAAATATTTCAGAGTTTGGATTTTTCTATCCACAGAAATATACTTTTTAGTGGGAGGAACTGCAAAGTCACTTAGCAAAGGGGCTTGAATGGAGGAGGGGTGAAGAATTGAGACCAGTGATACAATCTACCCCACATGCAAACTCTGTATACCCCAACCTGGACTCATCTCTGTGACTACCTCCTTCACCAGAAACCTGTTTTGCTTTCTTTATTTCCAGTCTTAATCATACTACTCCGTGCCTAGTCACTGAAGCCAGAAGCCTAAGAAGTATTTTAGAGTCTTTTCTTTCTCCTTTCCCTGTCTTCAATATTTACTATGTAAATATTTCTCCAATCTGTTATTTTTTCCAGCCTTATTACCATCACTGCTCTGGTTCAGGTTCTCATATCTTCTTAAGAAGAAAGGGAAGGAATAGTCTCTTAATTGTCTCCAATGCTGCTTCCTTCAGATTTATCCCTTATATTGTAGCTAGGATACTCTACCTAAAATACAGGTGTTATTCGTGCTCACTGACTGCTCATTGCCTCTAGAGAAGGCCCTCTGTGATCTAGATTTTCCAGCCTCATCTTCCACTCTTGCCTGCCTTCTACTTTACCCTTTTATTTTAGGAGTCAGCAAACTGTGGCCAATTTTAGAACATTTTTGTTGCCCTCCCAGAAAACCCCCATGCCCATCAGCCTTCACTCTCCATTCCCTCAACCTCCTCTGTCAGCCCTAGACAACTGCTAAATCTACTTTCAGTCTCTATGGACTTGCCCATTCTTGTTATTTTGCATAAATAGAAACATCTGATCTTTTGTGACTGGCTGCTTTCACTTAGGGTTTATGTATGTTGTAACATGTATCAGTATATCATTCCTTTTTATTGCTGATTAATATTCATTGTAAGGATATGTCACATTTTATGTATCCATTCATCAGTTGATGGACATTTGGGTTGTTTCTACTTTTTGGCTATTATGAATAATGCTTCTATGAACATTTGTGTGCAAGTTTCTATATGGACATATGTTTTCACTTTTGGGGGGTATATATCTAGGTGAACTCTTCCTTATCCTTCAAGAATTGACTTTGAGGTCATTTCTTGCAGAACTTTTTCCTAGCCTCCTATGCTGAATTAAATGTCTTTTCTGTAAGGTTTTGATAATGCTCTCATAGTATTTACCACATTTTATTAGTAGCATCAGTGCCTTATTCAATTTATTCATGACTGCAAACAGTACAAAAGTTCACTTAATATTTGTTGAATTAGAAAAACTGTAAAGCAATCTATGCTTTTGAATTAAAATAAAAATTTTTAATTTTTTCTCTGCCTTATGTACATTAGCTTTTTAAAAAAAGTCTCAGAATACATATTGATATAACTGATCTTGAATTTATCTTTTTTAAGGCCTGCAAAGAAAACAAAAAGTGCTAAAGACAAAGCACCAGCTGAAAAAAAAGATGATATAGAGACAATAAAGTCATACTCGTACATGGAAGGTGAACCTGAGGATGATGTCTATTTAAAATGATTATACCGGCCGGGCGTGGTGGCTCACGCCTGTAATTCTAGCACTCTGGGAGGCTGAGGCAGGCGGATTGCTCAAGGTCAGCAGTTCAAAACCAGCCTGAGCGAGACCCCGTCTCTACTATAAAAAAATAGAAAGAAATTAATTGGCCAACTAACATATATATATAAAAAATTAGCCGGGCATGGTGGTGCATGCCTGTAGTCCCAGCTACTCGGGAGGCTGAGGCAGGAGGATTGCTTGAGCCCAGGAGTTTGAGGTTGCTGTGAGCGAGGCTGATGCCACGGCACTCACTCTAGCCTGGGCAACAAAGTGAGACTCTGTCTCAAAAAAATAAAATAAAATTAAATAAATAAATAAAATGGTTATACCCAAGGCAGATATATGACGTGGAGAAAGCTATTCACCTACTTAAGAAATTTCAAATTCTTGACTTCACTAATCCAAAGCAAGATGTTTTTCTTGTTTTGACACTGGATATGGCACTGGGAAAGAAGGTACGTACACTCAGTTAAAATAAGTTTATTTGTGAACAGTGGCTATGTGAATTAGTGTTTCTTAATTTTTAAAATTGTCTCTGTAAGTTTTAGAAAATCTGATGTTTTTTCTGTATTTTAGCATGAAAAAATTGTTTGTTTTTTAATTTTCCAAATATAAAATATTTTGAAAACACTCTGGAGAGTTGATGAACACATATCTTCTATTTCTAGTATATACTATTTCTAGTATGAATTTCAACAAAAGGTAGTGTTAAGTTCCCTGAGATGTTACTGTAACTCTGGAAAATGACTTAAGCTTCCTGGGTGTCATGTTATTCTCTATAAATGAGGGCTTTGTATTAGTTCAGTGTCTTTCAGATTTGTTCCTTAGAGTCTCAGGTTGAGACTAAGTTTGCATGGGTGGGGTTCCAGGGTCCTCTATCTTGCTTCAACCATAGCCTGTCTGCGTTATCTGTTTATATATTGGAGTTCTACCGAAGTCTATTGATAATAAAACTCTAAAAGCAAGGAAAACACTAGATTATTATTGAAGTCTATTATAGCCCTTAATTTTATAAGCTTCTTAAGAGATTTAATTTTTTTAGAAAGTACATTTAAATTTTTATTCTTGGGATACCTTTTTTGGCCAAACTAGAAGTTGTAAGTTTTTGAATATAATTTAACAGCCTTAACAACAAGAATAATAGAGCACCTAGGAGGAGGCAGTATGGTATAGTGCTTCGGAGCATTGGTCCTGGAGTCAGATTACAGTATGTAAGGACCAGAATCCTGCTGTACCTTTTTGAGTTTGGGCTTCTTTGCTCTTTGACCTTGGGTTTATTGCCTAAACTCTTTAAATCTCAGGTTTTTCATCTCTATAAAGGGAGCTAAAATGTTTAGTTCATGTTGTAGTGGGGATTAAATGAGATAATGCATGTAAAGGATTTAGTAAGTTCTTAATAACAACAGTCAGCATTTGCCAAACTCTTTTCTGTGTACCAGCCACAATGCTAACTGCTTTGCATGCATTTTTTCATTTAATTCTATAATAATCTCAAAAGAGGAAGCTGAGGCACAGAGAATGAAGTAACTTGCTAAAGGTCATAGAATGGGGGCAGAGTTAAGATTAAAGCCAAGATCTGTCTCATTACTTGGTTCTCATTTATTAGAAATAGTTTATATCAGCCATGTTACAATTTTTATTTTGTACTATAGTGTTCTTTTATTTTAAAAAATTTTGTAGTGTTCAAGATGATCACTTTCTCAGTCAGCTGTTAATGTCCTTTGTGACAAGGTCTTAAAGGACCACAAGCTTCATTTCATGTATGGAAGCCACTTGTAAACTAATGACATCAAAAAGATACTATTGTCTTCCTAAGGCATTTTTTTTTTCTTCACAGAGTTGCTTGTACAATAAGCCAGTGTTCTGCAGAGGATGCTATTATTATGATAGTTTACCAGTGAAAATTTACTGAAACTAGTTGTGACATGTTAATGGCAAAGGAATGCCAGTCGATAAAACAAAGTTTCATGGCTGATATAAAGTGTGCTTAAGAATTTGTGCCTTCTTACCTGAAAAGAAATCCCCAGGAAGATGTCTCTACTCAAAGTTTTTCTAAAAATATTAATCTTTCAATCAGTTTTATTAGGGGACAATCCCTTTTTTCTTTCTTCCAAGCCTTAAGGCTAACCCCAGACTATGGAGGGTCTAGAACTTGTTTCCTTGTGAAGTCTCTCTAAGAGATCTGAGCCTTAGTTCTTAATAGGTCCCTAGTCAAAATGACTGACCAGATTGGTTCTGAGGTCCTATAGAGTCTGTACCTGTATTAGAATGCCTCAAATGCATGCCATTGTTTCTTTTGGATTTTCAATTGACTTCCCAAGTAAATCTGAAAGTGGTAGTGGTCCAGATTGTTTCAACATAGACCCACTCAGAAGAGCCATTTATTTTTGGCAGTCTGTCTTGGATTTAGGGTTTACATTTCCTGGTTGTTTAGAGCCAATGATGGCAATTAGGGGTTGGTTACCTGCTGGGCACATCAGCTGTCTGTTGTCTATTGTTCATTATGTTTAGCTGTATTCATGTCCTTCTTGATGGTGTTAGAAAATTACATGTTTTTTTAAGAAAATTCAAGTTAGCAAACATTTATTGACATTCATCAGATGGAAAGCATTGTATTAGATGCTGGGAAGATATAGATATGCAAACACACTCATAAACTCATAATATTTGAGAGACTATGATGAATGACATAGAGATAGAAGCCAAGTGCCATGGGAGTATGAAGCTGGGGAGAAAGACTTAGATTTTTTATTATGGTTTCTTGAAAAAGAAATTTAATCTTTTATGCTTTAAAATTGTAATCAGTGAATACTTCTGGATCAACGAGTGGACATAGGGTAGAGTTAAAACACTAAAAACAAAACATGCCAGTTCTGGTTTTGATAGAATATGAGAAATATAGAAAAGATAAACTTTTCATAATTTTTCTCCTGTTGTATATTTAGAAAAAAGTGGAGCCATTTGCCATTGTTCTTAGGTTACCATACCCATTCTCCTCAGAAATCAATAAAGTTGCTGTATTTACATGGGTGAGTAACTTTTGCCAACTATTTCTCTCTCTGTCTTTCTCTCTTTTTTAAGAGATCACAGTAATCAATGATGAGAACAACTGAATAAATAGAGTTAGAGAAAATCTTAATATTCATCTAGTCTCATTTTCCCCATTTGGAGCTCAAAGCAGTTAGATAATTTATTTGAAGTTATGTCACTAGTTTGAGAAAGTGCTAACTTAGAATGTTAATCTCATCATTACTAGTCCATCACATTGTTTCTCATAAGAAATCAAAAAGAAGTGTGGAATTTATCCTACTAACTCCTTCCTATTCAAACTTCCTTCCCCAAACAATAATATGATTTTTGTAAAGCAATGGGACCACTTAGTGCTTCGGTGGCTCAGAAACTACTACTTTTAAAAATATGTAGTCTGGAAAGTCAAGAAAGTCAAGTATATAGCAAATGTAATAATAAAGCACTTTGTCAGTCTTTTTTTAATATAAATATTAGTTTATTATGTTTATGAATTTGTTTTATAATTACCTATAAACTAAATTTGTTTTGAATATAGTATCTGGAAGCATTTAATTGAAAATTGTTATATTTTCAATTAAAAATAAAAACCGCAATTTTTATTATGAACTGTGATGTTATTTCTGATGAAATACTTGAAAGCAAACTGAATATGTTTAAAAATTGATATTTCAAACTATTGTGTTTTGGTAGAATGCATCAGAGGTTAAAATTGCAGAAGAAAACGGAGCTGCTTTTGCAGGAGGAACTAATCTGATTCAGAAGGTACAGTGCTGTTTTCATGTTCATTAGGTATAGAGATTGGTCTGTTATCCTTGCCATCCATTGGTTTATTACATGAGGAACATAACCACGAGGCTCAGATCCTGTGATAAACGTTTAGTAGGGCTTTATGAGAACAGGGCAACATTTTTCCTACTTTTTTCAGTTTCAAACTCAAGCTAAGAATAAACTATCCAGATAGTGTCATATTGAATATACTTGATTTATATTATAATTTTTTTGCTTCCTTTTTATCTATGAGAGTTTTGTGGGTAGACTGGAAAGGGCAATATCACTCTGGTTTTGAATGAGAAATTTAAAATGAAATCCAAAGGTGGCACGCATGCATATCTCTATTCATGTTTTGAAAATCAAATATTTGTTTTGCTTTCTTAGAGTGAAAGTATGATTCACTTAGTAGATGACAAAGTATTCAATCTGACCTCTATAATATGGTGCTTTTGGTTCCTCTTAACTTTTACCCCCTAGACAGTTCAGAGTGGTATAGGCTCAGCATGGTAGAGACAAATGATTATGTAGCCTGCCTTTGGAAAATAACAAAGAGTTTTTAGAGCCTGTTTGAAAACAAGAACAAAAAAATTTTTTTAAGAAGTTGGAAGAAGAGGTGTGGAGTTATTTTTGAAAACACAGAAGATTTTCCTAATATTCTCCAAAAGCTTCCCTTCTAAATATAATCATTTGGATTATGGAATTTTGGGGGATGGGGAGAGACAAGAAAAAGTGACCTGAAAATTTATCCTTTGTCTCATATTCATATTTCCATCTGGAGAACTTTTAACTGGGCTCATCCTTTGGGATATACAACAGTGCTCATTTGTTTTGTTCCACCTTAAATGTATTCTAAATTTGGGTGGGGATTTTGAATTTTTAACTGAGTCTCCAGAATGATTTCTGGGAGCAGAACTAGTAGAAAATAGGAAGAGATTATGCTTTAATAGGGGTTCTAGGCCAGATTCAGAGGATGTACACAGTTCTTTCTGATGTATCATTAGTTTTAATTTTTAAAATTAATTTTTTTTAATTATTAAAAAATAAACATACCACAAATGCTTGGGAATTTGGGAGTAGAGCTTGGTCTCTGGAATCAGAGAATTAATCTTATTAAATCTGTGTACTATCTTCCATTTTATTTTATTTTATTTTTTGAGACAGGGTCTCCCTCTGTCACACAGGCTAGAGTGCAGCAGTGTGATCATAGCTCATTGCAACCTCA